TGTGGCACACAGCAGATGAATGGGATAGGGTAGGGAGCAGAAACCAGCCCACTGCGCAGGGAAAGGTTTTGAGTGGCACTTAAAGGGTGCTGGGCCAACTTTGTGGCACACCAGCCGAAAAGTTTGGCTCCCCATTTATCTAGACTACCTTGTTCCTGATCTTGGTGTATTCATAGCTTTGTGCATATCTAAAACTACAGACATTTCAACCTTTCAACGTAAGAGAAGATGAGTAGTTTTTGCTTTGTTTACATATACTCCCAAGTTGTCGCATGGTTCTAATGTCTTCAATGTAATTGCTTAAGATTACAAAGTAAGGAATACTTATGATCTAAGTCTGCTTATTGTGTGATTCAGCTGTTGTCCTCATCTTTTTCAAACAAGCTTTGCTGCTTCTGCTTTACCTAGATACCAGTAGGGATGCTATTGATGGCATGGCGAAAAAATAGTTTTGGGTGCCTAGCCTTATTCTGACCCAGAATAGCAGGGAGGGAGCAGGCAATAGTCCAAGACAGGATGAAACTGTACTTGTACCAATCTAAAGTGCTGTGTGAGACCCAGTAAGGATGTTACTACCAGATTTTAGGTACTGTAGTCAAGTAACTTGAGTAAAATTACTTCCAAAGACTTGACACAGTGAAAAATCACAATCCAACATAAAGGCACCCTTGCCAAGGCAAGTCCATGCTCCAAAGTATGACAGTGTTGCAGCTTCTCAAAAGGCTGGAAAGTCTTAAGACCTGAAATCTAGTTGTAGTCAATCTTCACTAAAATTTTCCAAACAAATCCAGTCTGGAGACCACTGCCTTGGAACACAGAACCACAAAGTGGGGTGCATGCACCCCAGCGGGTGTGCAAGACTATCCATTGGGGTGCAGGAAGAAAATATTAGAACTTCTATATATATTTATATAAAAATACATATATTGGGGGTGCATGCTCAAATTTTTTACTCATGGAGGTGCACAAATATAAATATACATATATTGGGGGTGCATGCTCAATTTTTTTTACTGATAGGGTGCGTGATCAAAAATTTGGAGACCACTGTTCTAAGGAATATACTGGCAATGAAACATCCCGAACAAATCCCCTGCTAAAATTTTATAACTCCAAGTTTGTCATCTTATGGAAGGGGCTGTCTTTTGTATCTACAATATCTGCTTGGATGTAGATGTAACAAAGCCTGACTTGCTTACCATTGACCCCTAACAGCATCCTAACTTTTTTTTCCAAGCTAAACTTCAGTGTTCTTTGCAGCATTTGTTCAGTAACAATTTAATATTAAACTGGCTCTTCTACTTTTTCAGACATCGGTACCCCTTTCTCAAGAGACTGAGAAATATACTTCATCTCAGCCACTGTATCAGACAAATTCACGCATCTCTGAGCCACTGATTCCCCAAAAAATTGAAGTTACGCAGGTAAACTAAAACATGAGAAACAGATGTACTTCATTAAGATTACCTTAGTTAGAATAATTCAGGTAGCATCAATAAATGACACTGCATAATGTCTAAATTATTCTGTAAGCTAAATGTATTATAGTTGGCTGCTGTAATGCCTTTCAAATAGCTGCAAACCCTCAACTTCATTGGACTCATGTTCTACCCGCCTCTGTATTAATAGTACTGCTAACCATTCTTCTGTAGCTTTTTTTTTTTTTTTTTAGTGCTGAGCTGACAAAAACAAGGCTTAAAGATCTTGTAGCCACAAATACCAAAGCTTAAGTGAGCTATCATTAATCTATGCTGTAATGCAGACCACTTGAGAGGTGCATCTCTTGGGTAGGAGTAGAATTTACTTTACAGATAGCCACTTTAGATTAAGGAACCCTTTTCCCCCCAGTTTATGGCATACTTGGAGCTCTGAGAAACTATATCAGTGTGAAGTTTCAGTTGTGGCAAAACTTTTTTGCTGCTTTACTATGAAATTATTACAATAGGTGGTGTATGCCTAGTAGTCCATAGATGCACTTTCACTTAGTCAGCAGAGACTTCAATAGAAGTACTGATTGCTGAGGATGCACAGCAAGATTTGAAATTGTAAGCAAAAGCTATTTTGTTGCTTTGCTATGTCCAAATGTCATCCTGCAGAAACTGCTGACTTCTGACAGTCTAGGCTTTACAGCAAATTAACTGCTTGTGTTACCTCCTGATAACTATCAAGTGACTTCTCCATTTCATATTTTTCTCTCAGGCAACTATTCCTCTGTCAAGTGAGTCGCAGTCACCATTGCCTACATCAAGCACCTCCATATCACCAGTACCACAGGGGCAAACCTTTCAGTCTCCTCCTGCAAGCAGCAGTTCTGTTACAATAACTGCAGCTCCATTTCAAGCTATGCAGACTGTAAGTGTGTAATTCTGAAGCTAAATGGAAAAATCATTCTTGACTAGTCTTAACTATAGATTGTTACTTCAGCCTTTAAAACTATGAAATCAGCTGTCCTGGCTACAGAAACTGATTACATGCATTAAAGTTGATCTCTTTAATGCCAGAAAAGAACTGCTGATTTTGGAGCAGTGGGGGCAACTATTTTTGGTAGGCATGTCACAAACTGTCCCCACACCCTGCCCAAGTGCCACTTCAGTTCCCTTTCCCTAACTGATCTGATGTTCAGACTTCTTTTTGCTGTTTCCCTTGTGCTACTCTGTTGTTTGCCCCCTCCACAATCAGCTGTATGCTGTGTACAAAGGCTGCCTTTGCCACTTGTGGTACCTGTGCCACAGGCTGGCCAACCCTGTTTGAGTAACCCATTTCCTGAGCTGAGAAGCTGTTTGCAATTGCTGTATGGGATCAAAATTTAACACTAGTGCATCTTGGCTTATGCTGACTTCTATTTTATTGCATGTTTTAGTGGCTTAAAAAGTTTCCTAATAACTGTTTTACAGCTAATCTGATTCTCAAACACAAGCAGCTTGAATTCCTGGCCAACCCAGAGGGGTTATTTCTTTGTGCTCTATTTGCCATACCTGAAATGAAGCGGTTTTTAGTCCTATTTTCTGCCGAGTGGGAATCTAGCTGACTGATTTTGTTGCTGCAGGAGTGTGGCAGTGAAGCCATGTGAAGGGAATGGAAAATGTGGGAATGGATGAAAACTGTACTTAAATGATTATCTAGAACAGAAGTTGGATATATATGCTCACAGTGTGTATGAGATTGAGTCTTTTGGAAGGTGCACATTTACTGAGCTGCCTCTGTTGTCCTACCTTTATCCAGAAGTAGAGAGAAATACTCTGATTTTCCTTTTACTACTACTCTTCCCCCCCCCCCCCCC